GCGGTGGCCGGCCCGATGCGACGGCGCTTGCCGGCGCGGGGCGGCGGCCGCCGGCTAGGAGGCGCGATGGCGCGGGCGGAGGGAGAGGCGGCTCGGGCGGCGCGGAGGGAACGGGCCGAGAGGGCCCGCGGCTGGCTCGCCGGGCCGTGCGACGGGACGGGCAGCGGCGCCACGTGGCGTCACGCCACTGGTGCGGGGCGGCGGCGCGACTTCGTCCGGTCGGGGCGGACGTGTCCGGTGGCGGCACGAGGAGTTTTCTAGTGTTTCGGGGGGAGGAAGAAGAAGAATTTCGGAGGGGTCTTTAAATAGGCATAGGAGGAGCTTGGAGAGTCCAAATGAGGTGCGGTTTTCGGCCATGCGATCGTGATCGAACGCTCTTGATGATGGAGAGGGTTTTGGGCCAAAATGGAGGGGTGTTGGGCTGCAACACACACGAGGCCTTTTCGGTCCCTCGGTTAATCGTTGGAGCATCAAACAAAGTCCAAATGATACGAAACTTGACAGGCGGTCTACCGGTAGTAAACCAAGGCCGCTTGGCAAGTCTTGGTCCAATACGGAAATGTTTAAACCCCACACACGAAAGAAAGGTAGAAATGACCACCGAAGGAGAACGGAGCGCCGGAATGCAAAACGGACAACGGGGAAAATGATTGGATGCATGAGATGAACACGTATGTAAATGCAATGCACATGATGATATGATATGAGATGCATGACAACGACAACAACAGACGGAGACAAAGGCCCAAACCCAAGGAAATAAAGTAACTTAACGCCGAAAACGGCAAGAGTTGGATTACATATTAGGTAAATCATATCCGGGGTGTTACACAGTACCATTAAAGTTTTGCATGCTACATTTCCGATTCGACAATTCAATATCAACGAAAAATATCTCAGCAGAATAAGTTTCTAGGTTGCTTAAGGAGAATAGTTCCTAGGCAGACAATATTGGGGACTCAGATATTCAGAATTAAAATTCAAGCCGCTGCAACCAAAATTTTGGAATGTGTCAACATGATATTGTGTAGCGAAAATGCTGAATAAAACAGTAGTTTCCCTAAGTTACAGAGAAGAACTAAACAAATGAACGTAATTTAATTGTCAAGGCCCTATCAAAAACCAGCAAAGAGAAGACCCATTATCACAATGTCCTGTTTGGGATTCAATTATGAACAAATGAAAAGAATCTACTTCAATACATCTTGGGAACTTCCTTATAGGGGATCATCCTCAGACTGAATCATAATGTGCTGCAAAACAAGAAAAATGGTTGTGTATTTTCGCCTATAAAACTGGTGTCAATTTATGTAGCTTGATCTCACACAAAATGATAGACAAAAATCCATGCACTAAATGCTGGTGGTTATTGAGTTATCACAAAATGATATGCTTCTTTGACAACACCTACTGCCACATTTGAACACTTCTTGACAGTAGTAATAAAGAAAGAAACCAACAGAAGATATCTGTGGAAAATGACCTGAATGGAAAATTTAAATATAGATGAATCAAAGCTGCTACCTGCAAGTGTGTCATGCAAGTAGATATTGTTCCAACAGCTACTGTCTCATTTGAACAATTCTTGACAATAGTCTGATGAAAACATATTTCAATATTATAAGTGAACACTTCTTGAAAATTATCTCATGTAGCTCTGTTTCTGTTTCCTGTGAGCATCAAGGCATACCTTTGTTTTGCATCAATGTCTGAACTTTGCCATGTTAATAAAACGAACAACTTTGCCCGAAAAATATAAGCCAATCCAAAATAGTGTCCTGCAGGTAGATAATACAATTGAGAATTAATCATCGTAAAGTAGCAATGACAGAAGAGGTGGACTTGAATTTCAATGACTTGGTCACACAGAGAGCAGGCAGCTTTAGGTCTGTCAGCAGTTGGCCGTCAGTTTTGGGAAAGAAGCCATATGAAAAAACTGTATTTCCCCTCAGTTCTGATGCGCCAGATTGAGTTCAGGTCTGGCCGCTCGTTGGATCCAATGAAGCGGTAGAGTATGTTTTCGTCGCATTCCAATTAAAGTGATTTCATCTCATTTCTTTGTGGAGCAAAATTCGGTAGATGTACATTCATTAAATCGACTTCAAACTCCATGCGGTCTTTGATGTAAGAAGGTCACAAAGAAACACACTTTCATCTTAAAATTTGATGTGGTGAACAACCGATTCATTTATTACACCCAACACTTGCAAAATGCAATGACAACAGAATTATGTACTCCCAATGAGAGCAGAAATTGTTTGAGATTGTAGTACAATACTCCCTTTGTTGGAAAGAAAAATGTATAATAAGTGACCAAATGAAAGCACCATTTGTGAAAAGAGAACATATACAGTAGCACGTCGCAAAAATAGAATCTTTCTTATTCATTTGTTTGTTTGTTATTTTTGTACAGTAAAATATTTTTGCTTTGGGGTAATTACAAAATCACAACAATGCACTGCCGATTTTGAGTACAGTCGGATTGTATCAATGGTATGTCCTACATTCCACATATTATGAATATAAGTTGGTACTTAGTATTAAAATTTGAATGGATCACTAAAAAAAGGTTAATTATCGTAATGGATTGTAATACTAACGACGGTGTATGTGCATGTCAGCTACAAAAGGAAGCAACTAATGCATACCATATAGTCTAATATATAATAGTATAAACAGAAACTGGGATGGGGATGAGGATGGGACCCCTCACCTGCGCTTTCCTTCTGCACAACGTTGTTAATCGCTAGCATCCGTAGCTCCTCCTCGCCCCTTCAAGTGGCAGAGTCCCGGAGAGCGCACCGCGGGGTGCCGGTGCCTAGCGGAAGTAGGCGAGGGACGCAGCGCAGCACACAGTGGCAGCAAGCACATGAAACACACACACACACACACACACACACATACACACACACACTACATCAGCAAGCAAGCATACATAACTATAGTACTGAAACTAAAATTTCCATAGTTCAGCAGGAGCTTAGAGAGGATGGATGGATTGCGTTGCCTATCAGAATGAAGACGTTTCCTCTCAGAGCATGTCAGAATATACAAAGTTAATACATAAATATGTCATAACATAACACTTTGTTTTCTACTCCGTCAGTTGACAAATATAAGATGTTTTGGATATTTCAGTATGAAGTACATGCATGCGGACTAAAATGAGTAAACAGACACACTAAAACATGTATATATGCATCTGATTCACAAAATAGCATGACCGTTGTAAATTGCTGGTCAACATACAGTTTCCTATAGCCCAATTCTGAACCCATATAGGAGTACAGTTCAGACACATTTACAGTTTAGAGGCAAATTAAACGGCAGAGGCACGCACTTCCATCGTCGACGGCGTCCACATCGACCCCTAGCTCCTCGACCAGGTACCTGCACACCCGTGGCCTTCCCTTCCCGGCAGCAAAGTGCAGCGCCACGAGACCTTGGTCCTTGGCCGCCTCCACCACCTCCCTGGGACGGGCCCTGCCCTGATCCAGATCTCTCACCAGCCCTGCGACGCGACGAATGGGAGAGTCAGTGCCTCCCAGATCCAAACAAAACCCACCCGAAATCGCCCACGTACTCTTGAAGAGGCGGAGGTCGCCGCGGCTCGCCGCGTGGAGGAGCGGAAGCAATCCGTCGGCGGGCGGAGGGGGCGGGCTAGGGTTTGGAGGGGCGGCGCGGCGCTTGGCTGAGGTGGCGGCGGGGTGACACCGCGCCATGGCGACCAGCGGTGGCGAGGTGGCGCCGTGGGATCCGTGGCGGCGGCGAAGGCGTCCCTGGCGATCCCAGATCGAGGCCGCTGGTGGGAGGAGACAGAACTTTTTTCCTTTGCGATTCTGAAAACCGGTGGACGAAGGTGTGGGAGCGGGATGTGACAATACAAAACCGACGAAAAAAACCATTGAAGGTGGGACGAAAAAAAAACCGAAACGGAGACTACCAAACATTAGGAGTAGAGATTGGTTGGTTCAATTTTTTTTGCGTGGAGGAAACTACCTGGGAGGTGGGAGGGAGTACGAAAATGAACCGTCTCGGCTGAGCGGGAGGTGGGAGCAAGTACTAAAGAAGTACCAAAAAAGACCAGGTAAGGTGGGATGAAAATAAAAGCTGGAATGCGACCTACCAACTGAGACATTAGGAGTAGAGATCTTTAGAAGGAGAAAATTAAATAGCCCAAGTTGTACAAAATTGGAAGCTTCCACTCGGCGTACGTGTTTGGTCATGCACACGCCACTACTGTAACATATGATGACCATTTGTTTGTGTCACGTACTTTATGGCCTTTGGTGTGATGCAGCGCGAGCATCATCGACATGTTTTGAGAGCCAGTGAAGTGACGTGACCTGATTAACTAGCTGCATTTTTTTTTCTTGGTCAGGACAGGTAGCGGCCGCCGCCGTCGACGGAAAGCTAGGGACAGTCACGTGTGAGTTGGTGATCCGTGCACGTCATGCATGCGTCATGCTGAAGTTCGTACAGAGTGATAAACTACCACTAAGTATAGTATTTTGCACAATCCTCATCCTGCCAGCACCTCCATAAATGAATTAAGGCATTTCTAACCAATCCCCTATAACTGGTTAAAGGAGTGGAAATTTGGTTTTACTCCTTCAACAGGTACCTAGCTGATCCCCAATGGACGCTAATGGAGGATAAATTATCCTTAGCCGCGTCCTGCCTCCCTATATTTACTCCATCGCTCAGTTCTTGAGTAAAAAGTTCACTCTCCTTCGCTACACTCCCCCGCTCCACTCCCGCACCGCATCTTTACCGGCACCGCCCCTCCCACCCCATGTCGGCCACCGCCCGCCGCCACGGTCCTTGAGCACCCGGACTTGTGCCTTCCCGCCCCGTCACCGGCGCACAGCCGGTAGATCTGCGGCTTTCGCGTCCGCCGCTGGATTTGGCGAGTCCTGCCGCTAGCGACTGCGTCTTGCCATGGATTGTCCAGGTATCGAACCACACAGCCTCGGCAACGCTCTGCGCCGCATGCAGGTATTGATTCCGCCTCTAGCCGCTCAGATCTCTCCCTTCGGTGGATTGCCCTCAAAGACACTCCCGGCTGTCGCCCGGGCTCAGTGCTGGCCCAGCAGCTCGTCGACTCATTATTGCTGGTCATAATGTGCGACGATTGCCCGCGGCAGGTGGTGCGCCTAGTTTCTACCACGCCGGAACATCCCGGATGGGTGTTCTGCAGGTGCAAAAGAGATGGCGTATGTGCATTTTTTCATTCGGTTGTTCACCGATTTGGTGCAATTTCAGTAGCTCATTGTTTGCTCTAATTTGTGTGTAGGATGGATGCAAGCTTTGTATTGGGAAAAATATTACATTGGTCTATTGATAGCATGGAAAATGATAGGTTCTCGTGCACTCGTTGCTAGAATCGAGGCTAGAGATGAGACTAGATGCAAAGTAACGTCTACTTCGGAATCGAAGAAGAAAGAAGTGTGCAAGCTCGAGAAGCCGCAGATTAACAATGAAGACATAGCGAAGATATTAACCCAACTAGTGGGAGTAGTTGTGGAAGTTGGATATCTTTTAAAATATCTAATTATGGTTCTTGCTTTCTTTGGTCTTGCTCTCATAGCGAAGAATTGGTGAATTATGTACACCAATGTATCAAAATGTCGTTGAATGAACTAAAGAAGCAAATAAATGTGTTTCAGTGGCTGAAAATGAAATGAAAATGAAAAAAATTACACCGTTATATATAAGGGATCGGTTAGGTCCGGCAAAAACTTAGTGGAGTAAAAATACTCCACTAAGGTTTTACTCCACCGGATACTCTACTATTTCTAGGGGATCGGTTAGAAATGCCATTAGGTAATTGGTTTCAAGATTGATACCCTTAAATGACTTGCAGAATGAGAGAGCAAGTATAAGGTCCCCCCCCCCCCTGAAGCTGCTTCAAAACTTTGCATCATCACCTCTGGTGATAACTAATGACTACATAAGTTTATGGACATAAGGTAACTTCAACACGGTTTACTCCCAAATGTTTAGCCCAGATGATCCAGACACTTTTGGCCATCCAACAACTATCACCAAATCTGTCCGGACAAGTCTGAATGTTCGAAATCCCACAAACTGGAATCAAAACTCGAGAGGTTCGTCCGGATCTCCGCCACGTAGGCATTTGACACTCTCATCCTGCACAAAAACCCCATCTAGCGCCCTTTCTATCACTCCGTCCGTCCTCCATGCGCTATGTACCCACATCCTCAGAGACCGCCGCCGTTGCTATACCACCCAGGCCTTGTTAGACCTCCGTCGCTCCACCCAGGAGCCCGCCATGCTTTGCCTACACCACCCTTCCACCCTTGATTCAGTCGTCGGCTAGGAAACCTCCACCCCTGCAGATGCCATTTTTAAAGTTTTTGTTGTTTACTTTGAAGGAAGCACGATCGATTCAGATGAGAAGTACTTCTACAACTAATTCATGGATTCATCCTAGTTGGATGAAGAATATGAGGATGAAATGGTGGTGATGAAGATGACTCTTGAAGACGCTAAGCGTGCAGAGAAGCATGTTCTCAATCACTAGGGATCAATGAAGGGACACTACTTTGTCCCCGACGCGTTGTTCCAGTCCTATTTCCGCCATTGATTTTGGATGCGGTGAAATGTGTTCAGTCGCCTCTACACAGGTGTCTTGACCTATGATGACTACTTGAGGAAGGATGTCGTTGGAACCATTGGGTTCTTTGGTTACCAGAAAGTGCGCGGCTACTTTGATGATGCTTGTCTGCAACACTAGCACAGATTCATGAGAGGAGTAACTTTGGATGTCTGAAAGCATGTGCCATGGCCAAGGTGTTTGGACTGGAGTTCTTGAGAGAACCAATTGTCAAAGACATTACAAGGCTCATGCACATAGAGAAGCAAAAAGGTTGGCCAGAATGCTCGGATCCCTGGATTGCCTGCATCGAAAATCAAAGGACAGTCCGTATGTTCAACAAGGGCAACTAAAACATGTGTCCGAATAAGTTAAATTTTAGGTTGAACTATTTTATTTCAAAACTTTATGTTTGGATTATAATATCTATATTTGAATTATTGTTTCCTTGGAATATTTACACAACATAATTATTAGTGAATTTTGCTATATTTTATTATTATTTGGAGTGCTCCGGATATAGAAAGAAACTAGAAGGATTGGGCGCACTTCGCTGCATTGTTGGTGTTGTTGGGATTTTATTAATAAAAATTTCATTTGGCGTGCGGGGGAGATGATAACTTGTGTTTTCTTTTTTTTTATAATGCGGTAATTTGATGGTATCTTTCTAACGGTATAATTATGTGTTATGTGCAAATTAATCCACACGTATCCAAGGAAGTTTCTTGCAGTGGTGGTCACATGTATTGTATTGGTGTTGCAGTATTGCATGTTTGCATTTATTTTTCGTTAGTTGATGAGAGAGTGTGTGGCTGATGTATTTTTATAAGTTGAATGTTGCAGATTCATTTGAGAAATCATTGACTAGTCAAAATCATGACCCAAATTCAAAATTGTACACCTCGCTTGAATGAGGTAGTTCATTGAGAAATTGTTGACCAAGTCAAAAGTTGGGAACTCGATCCAAAATCATATTGTTGCTACAGTGTTGCATGCTAGCATTTTTATTTTTTGTCGGGTAATAAGAGCGTGAGCGAGACTGGAATGTTTTTATAAGCTAGTTGCTGCTGATTGATTTGAGAAATCTTGACCAGTAAAAGTCATGAACAAAATTTAAAATTAAACACCTCACTTGAATGAGAGAGTTCCTTTAAAAGTCGTTGACCAAGGGGATACTTGTGTGAGATCTCACAATAGGTGTGATCCATGAGATCAATTTTTATTTTGAAAAATTACATGTTCAAACATTCTCAATTTTTTTAGACTCACATCAATGTTTGATGTACAAGCTGAAAAAATTTCAGCTCCTAATTCAACTTATATTAACATAAACAAAAAAGACAAAATTGAATGTGAATAGTGTCAAAATACTATTCACCAAAAGTTGTCACGATTCACATTCGAATTTGTCTTTTTTGAATCTCTAAATGTGCATCAAGTTTTGAGCTGATTTTTGTGGAGTCATGGACATACCTCACATGGATGTTGTTAAATAATTCAGTTTTTTAAATGTCTAAATATGAAAAAAAATCTGTGTTGATATCTCGTACAAGTTTCCCCCATTAGAGCACATCTAGATATGCCAAAATCCAATCCAAATCCAACATACTTTTTTTTAATGTTGGCAAAGCTTGCCAAATTCATTGATCAGAAGGGGAGTAACAAGAATACCACCAAAGGAGGAAAGCACAACAAAAGGGCTGGTGCTGAAAGAAAAGAAAAAAAATGGAAACTCGTCGGCACCAACACAAACCCAAGATCCGCCAACAACCGTGCACACCATTGGAATCCATCGTCGAGGCCTTCAAGATGACGCCTCCAACAAGGAAGTGGTGTCGAGAACACCACCGTTGTAACACCCCGTATATAACATGCCATATTTGTATTCCAACTCTTGCCATTTCCGGCACTAAGTTATGTTATTTCCTCGTTGTCGGGTTTTTGTCTTCGTGTTGTTTTGTCTTTGTCATGCATCTCATATCATGTCATCATGTGCATTGCATTTGCATTCGTGTTCGTCTCATGCATCCGAGCATTTTCCCCGTTGTCCGTTTTGCATTCCGGCGCTCCTATGTCCTCCGGTGTCCCTTTCTACCTCTTTTT